TATATTTAGTTGTCTGATGTAATAATTTGTTCGGAGACTGTCTCTTATACACATCTAGATGTGTATAAGAGACAGTAATAAATATATATAGGAGTAGACATATTTGGAAATATATATAAAGAGTTGGTGATTATAAGCGCATATACATATATATAGACAAAATTTTTCAGTGTGGAAAATTTCATGCCGAATTAAAGAAATTTAATAGCCTGGATCTTATTTATGGTAAGATCTGAAATCTAAAAATTCTGTCTCTTAGGTTAGCTTAGGTGTGGTATATCCGGTAGGTCAATAAGCCACGCATAGACCAGTTTGGTTCTTTGCGATACCTGATGGAATCCACTTGCTAAGTACAAGAGGAGTAGTCATCATTTAGGATGCCTGCAGACTTCTCGTTCTGTCAGCCGCCATGCAGTGACCTGTTAATATCGACATCATGTTTTCAAGATTACCTTATGCCCAACTCTGGACAGTATATTCCCCGACCAACTATCCTTATAGACGTTTAGAGTGTTGCGCGTAGTTAACATACCTTTATGCCAGTCATCTTTTCCTATGTATACTTTGAACCTTCTTTCCCTGTTTCCTCAACCGCCTTTACCCAGCGAGTTCTACCCGAAGGCTCTATAWGTAAATTCTCCTGCACCCAGTAGTCGTCCCGCCGATTTTGCTACRCAGTTTTCAATGAAGTCTTCTATAGGTGGCAGGTTTGGTACCAGTTCAAGAGCTCCCGTTATACACAGCGCAGCGAGCGATTGAACCCTTTCCGGTAGGTGGATTTCGGTACGCCTGCCTCCCATACTACTGCACCATAGAGCAGAATCGGTCCAGCAATAGCTGTATAACACCAGTGCATGAGAGAATGAGGGAACCCTCARGTTGCTCCGAGCATCTTCCTACATGCATATAAAGCAWTGCTGTCTTTSCTCACTCTTTCATCCACGTTGGGCTTCCACAAAAGTTTGCTGTCTACGACTACCCTCATCACTGAATTTCTTTTGAAATATCTAAGAGGAAACTTGTTRCATTGCTTTTGATGAGCTTTTCAAGGGACATACGTTTTACTTTATAACCAAATATTTTGTATATATTATACTGTGATCTCTTCTGAAATTCCTAGAACTTATTGTACTCTTCAAGAAGACTTCACATATTCGTAAAGTAATATTAACTCGAATAACTAAATTTTTATTTAAAATCTTTTAAGAAAAATTAAATAAAAAAATAGTAACAACTTAATTGCATCGATTAATGTTCCATATCTTCTTTAATTTCAGAGCGGCTCCGACTTGTACGCTCAGCTAGAGGTGTGGCGCTATCATTTCAACAACAATGCGGCAGAAAGTGACGGTAAGCTTCATAAGAAACACTTTAATCTTGACTAAAACAAATTAATCATCGAATTACTTGCACTTTCAGATGACGAAGATATGCTGCCCACCACAAGCGCTCTAGCTGTTGCCGGCACAACAACAACCACAACAGCAAAAGCAACTGACAACAAGCGCACCGGCCGCAGCGGTGGCTCACACATACACCTGTGGCAGTTYCTCAAGGAACTGCTCGCCGAACCGCACGCGCACGGCACGGCCATACGTTGGATCGACCGCAACCGGGGCATATTCAAGATTGAAGATTCGGTGCGTGTAGCGAAATTATGGGGCGGACGCAAAAATCGACCAGCAATGAATTACGACAAATTATCGCGTTCCATACGGCAGTACTATAAGAAGGGCATCATGAAGAAGACCGAGCGCTCACAACGTTTGGTCTATCAATTCTGTCATCCATATCAGTTGTAAGCGGGAGAGCATAAATTAGAAGAAATATGGAAGTGAGGCGGTGCTAAGAAAAGTAAAAAGGCATTTGGGTAATATAATATCCATTTGGTGTGGCAAAATAATGGCCTTAATGACAAATCAATAATTTATTGCTATTTATTTATTTATTGCATATATATACAAAACATTTATTTATTTATTTATTTATTTAAATTATAACGAAGACATATTTATTCGTGGATGCTAAGGAATTCATTTATTTATTTATTGAAATATTTATTTACTTATAAACGAAAGAGAGTGCCTATAAAATTACACAATATTGTTATTTTAGAGGCCGCAGCATTGCTTAATTATGCTGTTAATAATTCTTAAATCTCTGAAATGTCCAGTGACCAATAATAACTTACGGCAATACAGTTAGTATTGCTGCATATGAAAATTGGCAACGTTGGAACGGTTTTGAAGCAATTTTGGTAAAACAACAACTTAGTAGCAGATTTACTTGGCAATAGTTGATTTAGAGACTGGACTTTTTATACAATTTTTTATAGCCTAACAAACTTAAATTCAAACTTAAAAATGTATTTTCTAAACTCGAAGTTAATAATTTGTCACTTGTTTTAGTATTTATGCAGTGATTCACAAATTCAGATTTTACTTATTTAAGTATTTATGCAGTGTTTCACAAGTTCACTTTATGTTTCAAGTATAGAGTGTTTCATAAGTTCAGTTAGTTTCCTATGTTTTACCAAAACTAGTTGTCATTATAGAACCGTTCGAAAAATAAGCCTTGGTAACACTGGAAAGCCATATATCTATGATATATCACTTTAAGTTCTATGAACAAAAGAATTTAGCTTTAAGTTTTGAAACGATAACTCAAGTTTTGATAAAAGGTGCGTCGTATTTGACATCTAAGCGCGTTTGCGATGAAAATGTGCTTGGCAGAAAAGCGTAGATAAAGCGATTTCCATATTAGGTTGTACSAAAAACATAATCGAAATGCTACCTTGAAAATTTTTTACTAAAAAACTTTTATGCAGCGATAAAATATATAAATTCTATAAACGACAGAAAAGATTTTCGATGAACATCCCGATTTTCTGCTTGGCTCATTTATGCAAAGGAGGTGTTAAATAATTATTAAAATATATGAGTATATTTATATACAAAGCAAGCTATTTATTGAAACCCCTGTTATGTGAATGTAGTTTTAAGCGATTTTCATTGTAAATGGATATGTTTTTTCGGGTGTGGGTTATTTATTGTAGCTATAGGGTTAATGCAATTTCAAAGTGTCGCAGACAAAACAGCAAATTATTTATTTATAAACATATTTATTGACATTTTATAAGAAAAAAAAATATTATTGATAATAYTTTTTATACACAATTATTTATTTATTTATTGCTTATAATGTGGTGAAATATAATTTTCACAATGGTGTATAAATTACTTAGTTACTTTAATGAATTTATTTATTTATTCATTAAGCAGCAAAACAATGAACAAATCAATGCCACTCGTAGCTCATTAAGCATTATTTATTTGTTAACTCAAGAAGGCGCTTACTTTGAAGCAAGAAAATAACAAAAACTACAATCACAGCTAGCAAAAGTGTTAMGCTAAACCATTTTCCCCCTAAAGAAATGCCATTTCAAAGACAAATAATTAATTTATTAAATAAAAATATTATATTTATTTATTTATTTTAGCATTAAGTGCGGAAASAGTGTTTTGTAATAATTCACCTAGGACAATGAACGTCAATTTGTGCCTCTTTAATTTATGCGATAATCTAATGTGCTAATTTATTTATTACATTATTTATTTATTTATTTATTGGCGCCGTAGCGCCACAATGACCAAGAATGGTCGACTTGGCCAAGTTGTAAGTAGCTTTAAGCGTTTCAGCAAGTACGAAGCAAGCACTAGTTGTTGCAACATAATTTGATGTGAACAGAGTTGCCAAATATTTGTGAAACTTGTTTTATATATAACTCAATGGGMAATTAATTGTGTACTCAAACAAACTCAAACAAAAACATAAAAAGCGTACAACGAATCGTYGCTTTTTATTATATTTATACATATTTATTTATTTATTTATTGCCGAACAATCAATTATTTATATCGTAATTTATTTATTTATTAAAAGCAAACAAAACGTTAATAATAATGTTTAAAAAAATAATTATTTATTTATTTATTTATTGCAAGGAATTGTAACATTTCGATAATTGAAATAAAATGCAATGACATGTGTCAAAAAATTGTTGTTGTATTGTAAATCAATTAGGGGTGGAATAAGTGATGAAATGTGGTAGTTAAAAATGAAGCCTTGCTAACAAGTGCTTCGCTCAATATATCGATGTCGTAAGTGGTAAACTCACTAAACACTCCCTATTCAACGATAGAAATTTCCCTTGCTCCGGGACTGCTTTCCCATTACTTTAGAGCACGACGAACTAGCCCGCTCTGCGCCAGTTTCCAGAATGATGGGGCTAGAACCATGCAATGCGGTGGGGGCCTGCGTCGTAAGGGAGTTGCTCCGCGTGGAAGAGAAGGGGGGAGAGAACGGCACTGGCAGCAAGCTACTGCTGAGAGGTTACCACCTTTCTAGGTTCAGAGATGTGATCAACCTCCCTCCAGACAAATTTTGCAGCCTCAGAAAGAAATTGTATATTGTACAAACTGCCGGTTTTGCCGCATGAAAAAGGAAACTGCGAAAACACCAGATTGCCCAGCAAGATGTAGATGCAGACTCAAGTCTCTACCTACGTGGACAAAGAGCACATCATCTCGGATAGTCTGTATCCAAACCCCCCTTTTTAGTACAAAGTACATATTTTACCTACGGTATTTGCTGATACTAATTGCAATTTTTGCAACTATATTTTCTTTAAGAAAGTTTCGTATCATTTTTATCAAGTAGGGGGYGTTTTGAATCGAGTTCCTAGTGCGTCTATCATATTGACCTATTTTGCGCTATTGAATGCGTTTCTTATATCTATTACCGCGAGGAGCATTACTGGTTTCAAAAACTTGTTGTTAGAATATGAATATGACGAAGAAACTGTTCAACAATCTTGCRAATGGCGCCACAAAAATTTTCCAAAAACCAAAGTAGTTTGAAGGCACTAAAGGCCATCACAGCAAAGGTTTATTAAATTGAATAATGCGTCAACATACTGGCATTGGTTCTCGGGCCTATTTTGAATACGACAAAAAAAACTTGTATTAAAATATGTTCTTCAGTCCGGGTCAATTTTGATCAGTTCCTATATTTTTGGTGTAGTCTACACTTGTTAGCCAAAGACAGATTATTGTCTGGTTTTGACATGATAAAGAGATTTTATTTTCAAAATCTATCATCGACTCAAAGTCATTGTCGAATGATCTTAGTCGGTATCACACAACGGTTCCTTACAAACTTTCGATTGAAAAACCACATCTACAGGAACAGAAAGATTATCAGTACTTGCACCTTGCCTGCACCTTATGGAGGACACCACCAGTCTCTACCAGATTAAGACTCACACACTTTCTCACATAAACATATATTTGACATTGCCTGCCAAGAAGAAAGCACCATTAAACAAGACATTACCGTAAATTAAAACTTGTGGTAAAACTTTTTGAACTTAAAGCTCCGGAAAACGCAATCGTTAAGCTAAGTTAAACATAAGAGTTTAAAATTTCAATAAGACGGACACACTTACATACAAACATGCATAATACTCACAACGTAATAGCAGCTAGTAATCGCACGGTATGCTGACAGGAACGAAAGGTGTAGAAGGCAAGGGGTTAAAGAGATACACAATAAYAAGTAACCATTCGGTGGCGYGGCAGCTGGCTCCGCCATATGTAAGCCGAAGTGCCCCTGCACTCACCGCGAGTGTAATCAAAGTTTGCTACAATCTCATATAGCTCTAATGGAGYGTACAACTTAAACACATATTCGCCGGGGAGTATGTGTGTACAGAAAATTCGAATAAATAAAAGGGTAATATGAAAAATAAACGAATCTTATACATATAAATCATAGCAAACAAACAGAAGGAAGGACAGACTTTGCACTTCGTGTGCGAGCAAATACGAAGATGTTGGCTTAATGCAAGGAAGGTCCTTGCAAAGGCAAAGGTACATTGCACCAGTGTACGGCATCGTCCTGCAGTGCCAATACGAACGTAAATGCAATCAATGCCAAGGACCTGAAGTGCATATATATAAATATAGGTATGTTTGAGCACACAATTGTGCCTGCCCTCTCAGCACCAACAGCTATTGAGCTGTTACGAAAACAGAGCAGTCGACGTGCTACATGTGTGGGTGTGTGTAGGAGTGTATGTACGATATAGTAGCGTCGTAAGATGTTGTCAGAACTTTTACAAAGTTGCAAACACACTTCTTCAGACCCCTCCACCCTCCAGCCACCACTTCAGCACGAGTATATCAGTCATGGCTCTCGTGTTACATAACCATCTGGRAAGATAAGAAAAAGTGTGTTTGCGTTAAACAGCTGGCACCTACAGCGGTGGGTCTCACCTAAGTAAATTTTATTATACCCTGAACAGGGTATGTGTACTGAATGTGCCAYGAAGCTTGCAACACCCATTCGAAAGCATCGGAAAACCTGTAAGATATATATACAAACAATCTTCGAAGAAGTTGTTGAGATCGGATCACTATAGCACGTAGCTGCCATACAAACTGAACGTTCGGAATCAAGTACTTGCGTTGAAAATTTTCTCATAGGATAAAAATTTTTTACGAAATTGTTTAAAACTGTGGTGTAATCTCCAAAGAAATTTATGAGCACATAGCTGTCATACGAATTGACCGATCAAACTCAAATTCTTGTATGGGAACTTTTTTATTTGAGAACACCGGTGAAGGGAATCAATTTCGGTGCAGTCCAAGTTAACATCTTTTTCTTGTTTTTTTTTTTTATTTCTTTTTTTGCTTTCTGCTAATAATTAAAATATGCAAATATTTACTATTTACTTTGGTGTCAGCGTGGACGCAACGAAGTTTAAAAGATTGTGCAACTAAGGAGCGCGTCATCTCCTTGTGCCGTGTGGTGCCTAAGTTAGCAGTTGAGTTTGTATGTATGTGACCGCTGCTAAACTTCCACAGTGAAAGTCAATTGATTCACCACTAGCACGCACCCACACATATCCACCTACAAACACATACTTACACACACATACATGCAAACAAAGCATCAACAACAAATTTCGCTGCTACAAAGCAATATCCTCACTTCGAAAGCTCGTTTTAATATTTCTTCTAGTCGCTATTTCTTCCACACCTCTATTTTCGTATTCTTTTGACATATAATTTGCATGTAAACAGCGCATTTTCCTACACATTTTCTACTCCGCAGCTAGGTCGTTGTTCCTTTCGTCCTCGCTGGTAGCAGACTTTGTTTTAAGGTTTAGAATATATATATTTTTTTGCTTAGCAACTTAGCGCATAGCTGTGGCCACAATAATAGAGTGACAATGGTGCACATACCACGCAGTAATTTATCCTAAGCAAATGTGACGGTTGATTCGAAACTACGTTTATATGKACCCCGCGTGTTTTGGTTCTATGCACGTGCAGGGCAATGGAAAAAAACAGGGCGTCGAGTCTAGGCATCAATAAAATTCTGCTTAGCGTTGGTCAAAAAAGTTCTCTCTCTCAGCAGGCCGAATTTAAAATGGGTAGAMTTTTCGTATTTTTGTTCGTGTGGCCCAACAATGGTTCGCTCGCTTGCGTTCTGGAAATTTCGATGTGAAAGGTACACCTCGCTCTGGTCGACCTATCRTTGAAAAAGTCGATGAAATTATGGAAAAGATTGAACAGGACTGCCCTGACATCGTTAAGTTACTTAACACTCGTCATCAAACGGTTTGAACAAAAAAAAGGCTGGTTACAAAAAGAAGATGGATGTTTGGACACCACATGAATTGTCTGTGAAAAATTTAATGGACCGWATTGACATCTGCGATTCTTTGCTTAAACGAATAGAAATCGAACCATTTCTGAAGTGAATGGTAAGAAGAGACAAAAAGTGGATCAAATATGACTGTAATGTGCAAAAAGGATCATGATCCAGCATGTTGAAGCTCAACAAATGGATTAAAAACCATTATTGACGGCTCGAAAGGTTTTTCTGAATATTTGATACAGGGAAAAAGTGTTCGGGATTGAAAAGAAATCATCCACTATGAGCTGCACTAGCCTGGTACGAMGACTGATTCTACATTTTACTGTCAACAACTGATGAKACTGAAGCAAACAATCGAAAAAAAGACCAGAACTGGTCTACAGAAAGGGCTTCGTCTTCCATCAGGTCMACGCTAGACCACACACATCTTTGATGACTCAGCAAAAACTRGGAAAGCTTGGCTYGGAAGTTTTGATGCATACACAATATAGMCCTAATCTTGCACCATCAGACTATCATTTGTTTCGGTCAATGCAGAACTCGCTKAATAGAGTAAAGTAAAGTTGAAGTTTGATTAGAAATACGAAAAGACTTTTTCGACTACCCAATAGAAACTTTTTCAGGAAGAAGAAATCTGTGRTGATATAAAATGAGCACCTTCAGTTGGCTGTTAAATTGGTTCACAATTCCCTACGTCAGATTTCCTACACAGTTTTTATTACAGATTCCCAACAGCGCTCAATTACATATTATTCTATGGGCACAAAGCACAACCAACGTTAATATACAAATAATAATAATAATAACAACTATTATTAATTAGTGAAAATTTTGTAAAAAAAAAAAATACCTTTACAAAAACATTTCTAAGAATATATGCAAAAAAGCCTAACTTTTCTCGTATGCATACACATAATTGATTGACTCCACCCTGGCGTATACGTAACTTTCTGCAAGCGTGGCTGCACTGCTGTAAATAAGCAGCGTGTTGGGCTCCATGTAATGAAATTGAATTCACCGCAGTAAATTCGATTAAAATATTGATAGCGGAAATCAATGTTTAAAAAACATTACCATTAAATTAACGGAACATTAAATATTGGCAATTCGCATTACTCCCCACTTTTAAGCGGCGCTTAAGCACAGCGCGTCTACTGCAT